GTGTATGGTGGATAATAATTGATGACTATAAAAGTAACATTTAAATGTAAGTTTATGACAACAGCAAATGTGGAAAGTCTGCAGGGGGAACAACGCAAGATGATTTTATTAAAACTTGTTTCAAAGTTCTTTGTGGCATTCAAAATATTTAGTAAGTAAAACCATCATGAAGACTGTTTTGGTTTTGGGGGTTTTTTTGTACGCACTAAATGTCTTTTTTTACTGGAAGAATATGATATTCTTTTTTTAAATGCTGTGTGTGCTTCAGCAAAGTGTGGGAAGTAGGTGAAAGGTAACTTGGAAAATTTAAATAGAGATCTTGAATACACATTAAAAGAAACAAATATGGATTATGTTCTTTTATAGAAAGAATTTTTAATTTCTTCCTTTTCTTTTACAAGTCTTTATTTTAAACAGTAATACAATTTTAAAGGATTTTTACCACAGAAAATTGGGCGAAAAGCTTTTACTGTGTCAGAGTAGAGCTCAAGAAATTATAGTTTTTAAATGGCTTTCTTGTGTAAGCTCTACATGGTTTTCAAAAAAATTTAAATATTCAGCCCACTTATACGTTCAAAACAGTAGGAATTTCAGATTGAGTAGTAGTATCTCAGGCCACTGCCATCACTGCTGCTGCCTGCTGTGTGATTACAGATGACATCTTCTGTGCTGTAAAGCAGCTGGAAACAGTTATGCAACTAAAGATAGATAAAGGAAATGATTGTTAAGGTGATGGTTTTAAAGTGTAAGCTGAGTTATGAAAAATCTTACCAATTCTCTTATCCCCTTTTAGCTTTGCTAGGGCAATAAAGAGATATATTCTGTAAGATAAGAAGTAGTATCAGAAAAAAGCTTCAGTGATTTGGCTAATTTTCTGTACTTATGGTACTGCAGTTTGACATATCCCTGTTTTCAAATTGTGGATACATTGACATCCTTTTTTTAAAATAGTGCCTAGTGGCAACAATTTTCTTTTATTGTCCTGCATATGGATGGAATGGGAGCTCTAGAGGTAAAACTTGTATAATGTTAGAGGATATTCTCAAATATTTAGATTGGCTGTAACATAATCCAGAAAATTTGATAGCCATGGTGCTTTGATTGTACCTAGTCAAAGCATTTTGTGCTGAAGTGTGGAATATTATATATGGAAAAAATGTTGGTAAATTAAGAAATGTGTTAGGTTATAGTTTCTAAATGTTTTATATGTGCAAGTTACTGTTTAACTTAAAAATTAAAATGGTTATTTAAAAGTTATCTAGAAAAATGCTTAAGGTAATATTTGAAGTGTTTGAAAATAAGGGTCTCATACAAGAATTAAAATAGTACATTGGCATTAACTGAAATTAATAATAGGTCATGAGTTCTTTAAATCTAGAAAGACTGAATTGTGAAGTTGTAAAATAATGAGATTAGTTTTTACAAATCCTCATTTAGAAATCAGTGATTTGAACAAAAATATCAATCTGCTAGTTTTTAATCCACTGAAGAGTCTTGTTTACTTAATGTTACATGCCACAGGTTGTGGGTTCTGTTACATATCTGCCAGTGCGTAAGAAGTAGATTCTGTTTAGGATTAGATAATTTCTTCAGATTGTTCCATACACAGTAATGTGGGTTCAAAAGTCTACCTTTGGATTTTATTGAAACATTAATGGTTTCTTTTGTTTGTTTGTTTGTTTGTTTTTTTCTGAAAACTTACTGTGTATTTTATTCAAGTAGGTACTATAGTGCTCAAAAAGACAGGTCTCTTCAGATCTGCATCATATGAAATGTTATACTGCCTAACACTTCATATTTTACTTAGCATTTGCATAAATGTATACAGGGCATTTGGAAACACATGAAAGTCTAACGTTTAGTTTTAAGCTTACCAAAGTGCTATCAATCATTATGAGAAACCATATCTAACTTTACACTTTCTGCTTTAGCTCTGCTATGATTTTCTTAAACACATAAGTACTATGATTTTTTTCAAAGGGCCCAACAGCCCAGCTGATTAATTTTCCTCTAGAGCTAAGCAATTGATTCAGAGAAAACTCCAGGTAGACTGAAGTTTAAAACTGTATTTGGATTTTTTTTTTTGCCCCGCGAGGTGTTCTGTGCAACTATAATACAAAATTTGCCTGACATTCTCTGTGAGTGATGCTGTCCTGTCATATCTGAAACTCACTGAAGTCATAGCAAGAATCTTAACTGACTGAAGTGCAAATAAATAGGGAAATAAAGGAGTACCAGTGATGGGTATTTACCAATAACTGACTCTGTCAACGCAATGATTCTAAGAATGCTGGAATGAGTTTGTATGTTATAAATATGACCTATTAATGTTTACCCAGTCTAAGGAAGGACTCATAGCTTGTATTTAAAAAAAATAGCATGTGTGTCAAAAAGTGGGATATGTCTATTAGCTGCATTTCTACACTACGTCTATGAATCTATAATTAAACATCGTGATTTATACGTACATAGAGATATAGTGTAGATGTGCATATTCAACAAAAGTGCTCATAAAAAAATCTATTCAAGAGTTAGGTACACACTGCTTTTACAAACTGTAGGTCTGAGAACAAATGCTTATTATAGTAAATATAAACATTACAAAGTAATCTTAGAAATCCCATGGAGTTTCCCGTGTATGTTTGTACTGGAAGGTGAATTGTTTTATCAGAAAGAAGAAATATCCAATTGGAACTAAGTATAATTTTATATAGGACTTCTGTGAGTACATTTCTTCCTTTTGATTGACATTGAAAAAGAAAACATACACACACGCAAAAGCGCTCTTCAGTTGTAAACATTATATGAATTGGAAAAGCAAGAAGTATCTGTTGTATCAACTTGGCTGTTCCATAATATTTTTTCTAATAGGCCTAATGTTTTTTGGTAAAAATCGTTTCTTAACATTACACTTACTAGAAGTGGAAAATTGTTACAGTGATACCATGGGTTAAAATAAGAGACCTGAAAAATATTTCATTTTAAGCTAAATTGTACATAGGTTAAATTTCTTGAGTAGCTACCGAAGAAATTGGCAGCTACATCACTTTCATGTTGACGAATGGTACTCCTAATATGTTTTGAAAAGAACTGGGCCTATTAAGATGGGAACTTAGAGATTTGCACCGGAATCAGGTTCTCTAGGACCATTTGTCTCAAAATATACAATATTTCACTGTAATAGTAAACAGAAATATGACAGAATGATACTTTTTATGCAGCTTAATAACAAGGGTTTAATCTTCTTTATAGAAAAAAATGGGTTATTAGCATCTTAAATACTTTGACAGAATTTGGAGTTTCAGAACAGAGTTCTTTTCCCATATTATTCCTAATAATAAAAATTCTAAGAAATGGAATTCTTTCTTAACGAACACTGGCTTTTTTGCCATCAGAGGAGGGCTGTGTCATACTGTCAGAGAGCAGCAATGACTGACTGCTCTTTCGAGCGCTGGGAGTGAAGAGGGAAAAGCCAAATGGCAGGGAAGAGACCTTGCTGATGCCCATCCTGCTACCTCCAAGGGAGGCAAGTGGGGCAGGCACCAGAGTGGTAGCCTAGTTCTGCTTAGAGTCCAGGTCATCAGACAGTTAAACTCTATTAGTGTACTGAAGGCCCTGACACTGGTTCTGCTAAGTAACAGCAAAATTTCTGATCAATTGTGCTAATTTTTATCTTGATGTTCTTTTTTTCTTCTGAAACATTTTTATATTTTACTTCTTCCTATGACTAGAGAAAGTCTTGTATTAGATAAATTCTTAGATTTCTTAAGAAGAAATTAATATTAACCATCTAAAACAGTATTTAAAGACTGAATAATCAAATGTTGCTTTTTTTCCATAAACCAAGACTGAAAGAAATAATTGCTCTATTTTGACAAGTGAACCAAAGAAGTATGACATAGAAGTCTTGCAGGAATGCATGCATGAAAACAAGGCTGTCATGTTTACAAAATGATTTTTTTCGTATGGTGAATTTTTCAGACAGTAAACTATACTGATATTTTTCTGAGGAACACAAACTTCTTTTGGCTATCCTTTAAGGAGAAGAGCTAGGAATAAATATAAATACACAATTTTGATTGTGCAGCTATTTTATGAAAACTCTAAATTGTTCTAATCTGTTACTATTTTTGCATTAACATATATCTGTTATACAGTTCCTTTTACACCAGTCATATTGTTCTGCAAGAATAGTCAAATAAAGGACGGATTTGAGCTATAGGTATTGAATGGAGTTAGTATCACATTCTGTAGAAACTCTCGAGATCCTTCTGAAGAGAAGAGGGATGTGTTACCACATCTATAATAAGTAGTATCATACATGAAGAAAGAGCTTTATTTTCAGTATTCCTTTTATCTCAGTTCTGTAAAGCACTGTTAAATGTTTTCCATTTAACTTCTACTTTTAATTATGATGTCTTTTATTGCAGTAACATCTGTTAAGTCTTATATTCAAAGGCTGATCTTTCCTTGATATTTTGTAAGATGTATTTGGTTTACATCCAAGCTTTTTCAGCAGTAAGATGACTGAGTTTCAGCTATGTCCCAAAATGTCAAAAGTCTTTGAATTGTTATTTGCAAAGGGGTATTCTGTAGCTTCTAATAATTTAAGAAAACAGTATTTCCATGAAATATTTCATAGTGTTGTGCTGTTAATTGAGAAGTGCGAGATCTTAGACTTTAAAGGACCTTCATGTTTGTTTTGGAAGAGCAAAATCAGAAATGTGCAGTTCTGCTACTTGTAGGTCTACACTCCTATATGACCAAAAGCTATCAAAAAACTTCAATCTGTTTTTCTAGTAGTACCTCTTGATAAATTACCAATGAACACTGTAGTTACTTTATAGAAAAATATTGCTTACAAGAAAAATAATGGATTTACTAATTTTATTTTGTTGCCCAAACATTGTGTGCATCTGAATATTATGTTTGTTCCACATATAGTTGCTGCAGTATGAATAGTATTATTAAATACTAAATAGTAGACATTAGATATACTGACTAATAAGTTTCCACTTTTTATGTAATTTGTTTCTTTAGTTTTGGTAATAAGTCATCACTGGTTGTAAGAACGACCTAAAACAGGTAAAAATAACTCCACTAATGCTTTGCTTCTGTTATAAAGACTCATGGGATTTAGTGTATTAGTTTGAATAGGCCAGTGGATTTAACCTGTGTTTTAGCGACACAGTTGTTGAGTAAAATGAGTACAAAGCAAGATGACACTGGGTTTATGATACATTATATGTTTTACTCTGGATTTTTTTGTTTTAAATATTAGTGATGATGTGCAGAACTTCCAGAAAGTAGTTATGGACGGAAATTATAAGTACACAGAAAATAATTTTACCCTCTAATGTATGTATTTTTAGTTTCCATTTATAATAGTGAGAATTACTTGTCTAAATCAAAAAAAATTAAGAAAGCTACTACTGTGATTAAGGTAAAAGAACTGATTTCTTTAAACTGAAGAAATGCAAGATACTATGAAATTTATCTCAGCATTTATTTTACTGGTTTCCCTCTGTTGCACTCTACTCAGAAGCATGCATAAGGTGTACTATTCAACACTAATTTTATAATTCCATACATAAATGATTCCCTTGTTAATCTAATACTTCCAGGGAACAAAATGTTGTACATTTTGGTACTTCTAGTCTGCCTTTTTTCATTATTTAACCATTTTGCTGTATCTGTTTTACAGATTCTAAAAATGGAATGGGGAGGAGAGTATTCACTTGATTCTTCCAATTTAGACTGTTTGTTAAATGTCCTTCCTGGAGAATTGGAATTTCAACAAATCCTGAGTGATGTTGATGAGAAAATAAAGAACAACTCTTCCAGGTAAAGAGTATTTTATTTGTATCCAAAATATTAATGAAAGTCATTACAAAGAAATGTGGCTTACCTTTTCTAGTTGTAGATTAAAATTCTGATAAATATTTCAACAGTAATTTTATCTAAACCACCTGAGCATTTAACAGATTTTTAATGCCATATAATTATTGTGCTATAGTCTTTCTCTTTATGGTACTTTTAACAGCTGAATCATCTTAATCTTAGGTTTTATTGCAGTAGGTGTGATAGTGAAGGAAGAAAATGTGAATTCACATGACAGTTGTGTTTCCTACAACTATTAGATGGAATTTTTATTCTATAAAAGAACTACAGAATTTGACAAAAAGCAACATTTGAACTCGGTATGTTCTTTAAGCATTTGTAATGGAAGTAGAACAAGGAAGTAAGTTAATATATGTAGAATTTCTTATGCAATCTGTTGTATTACCTATTTCAGGTAAAATTCTTGTGCTGCAATAGAAAGTTTTCTAAGTAGAATTTGAAATATATTTCTTTGCCCACTTCTTTGTAACATACTGATTTCCAATAATCAATGTTATAGAAACAGTGGACTTCTGAAAGAATTCATTTGTGATGCAGATTTTTTTGCATGACTACAAAATAATTAGCTCAAGGTTCTGTGCCTTATTTGTGGCTTAATTCTTTAGTACCTTTTTAATACTTTGATTGTGAAAGATGCTCTTAAGTAAATAGACTTATTGTCCATTAAAAAAAATAAGTGTACATTCAGAGATAAAACATGACATAATTTAATACTGAATTTTGAAAATCCTTGCCCTTGGATAACCGTGCATCTTACATAGTTTTATGATTTCAAAGAACTCCCTTCATGACATCTGTTTTAAGATCGTATAATTTTAATGTCGCTCACATTTGTGAGAGGAGGTCTTTGCTGTTCCCAAGCAGCTTTCTGAAGAATGGAAGTAAACCATTGCCTTATCTTGCTGAAAACTGACTTAGATCATCTCTGAGTTATTGTTATATTGGTTATGCCAGGCTGAGAGATTTTCCGGGGGGAGGGGGTTATTTATATCTCATCTCATATTTTCATTTAAAAACTTAGTGTTTACTAAAGTATTTACAGTATTAATAATCCCAGGGTAATAATGATATTGAAGATCTGGGAAGTGTGCTGTTGAGGACCACTGCATAGTACAATTTCATGTTACAGTTTTTCAGCAGTTGACATGAGTGAAACGTAGATACTTACACAGAGTTTAGTTGATGTCATAACGCAGTTAATTACACAGGTAATTAAGTTTTGAGTGTCTATGGTCTTATGTATCTGGAAAAAACAGAAACAGCATTTTTTGCAGAACCGTTGTCACCTCTTCAAGTACCAAATAAAAGTGATTTTGTTGTCATTATGCAGAGACAGCCTTAGAGTTAGGAAGATTATTATCAAGATGAATGTTTAGAATTAATGCTTTACTACTGTTTTTGGTTTCAGTGTGTGTAAAATGTATGCTGCTTGTGGAGAAAGCTTTTAGCTGTGGGAAAGCAAGCCAGCTGTCCATTCCTTTTAGTGGTACTTTATGTCACCGTTTTGTGTTACATTTTACATTAATGTCATCACAGTGGAACTGTTCTGAAGAAGGCTGATTGTGACTTGTACCTAGTCCTACAAATTAGAAGGACCTTTCATTGTAAGTTTTGTAAGATCCTAAAAATATTTTATCAAAGGAGAGCATGAAACTGGATTGCCAGGAAAAGTTTTGTATTTTTGCTGAATTGACACTTAAACTAGTTTTCAATCTAATTTTCACAAGGAAAACCAAAAAGTACCTCTGTAGTTACCAGCCGATATTTTGCTTCTCTAATATGTCAGTTTCAGAAATGGAGAAGAGTTTAAAAGGAGATGGTGACAGCAGCAGATGTAACTTTTAAATTAAAAAGAGCCCTTTTATTGCAAATATCTTAGAGATATAATGGAATTAAATAATTTTCAAGTTATCATTGATCTTTGTGAGTGGTATGATAAGAGCAGAACTTTGTGCTGTGGTGATACAGTTGAAATACAATCCATTTTTCATCAGATAGATTTATGCTTTTATTAGACCACCAGGAATGAACGCAATTGTATATAGTATATATATATTTTTAAAAATGAAACATTGTGTAAAAAATTGTGAGGCAAAAGTTTGTAAATCACTTGAATGGTCATTTATTGCCTTCCTACTGAATAGATTTTATTAAATTGTGTGACATGGCAAATCAGATATGCTTTTCAGCAGTTGAATTTCCTTCCATATTTTTCTATTATACCAATTCTATTCGGTGCTGTAACAAAACAAAGGCTGTCTGTGTGAAATTGTTTTATTGGTAAATTTGAAGGTAGTAAGTGGTTCATTCATTCACTATTATATAACAGTTTTCTCCCCGGCCAGCCCTGGCCACGCTGAGGGGCTTTCACCCCAGCTGGCCCCACCATGCCGAGGGGGCTTCTCCTGGCGGCCATGGGGGCTGCAGCCCCGGAGGACAGGAGAGGAGGAACTTCAGAGTGCACAGAGGTTTGCCAGTGCAATTTGCGGGAGGGGCAGGGGGTCCGATGGGCCATGGGGTCCCCAGACAGGCGGGAGGGTGGACAGAGTCCTGCTTGGAGGGTTGTGAGTGGGCAGTGCGAGAGAGACCTGTAGTAAAATATGTCCATAGGCAGGATGGGCTCGCTAGCCTTCTGGCAGTCATCCTAGGAGAAGGACAACTCTAATTCCAAACCCGGGCAGACAGAGCTCGCTTGGCCCTGTAAGGCCATCCATCCAAGAGAAGGATACTCTAATTAAACCTACATCCTGAGGACCTTGCTGTCACCATCCAAGCTCACTAGGCCCTGGCAGATGAACCTTAGGAGTAAAGGGTAGGTCCAGTTCTGCTCATGCTGCGTCTCACCTAAAAAATCCATTGCGCAGGCTCGAAGAATATGTCCACATTTGTAAAGCCCTGTAGCGATGGGTGAGGGACTAAACGGCAGGTGAAAGGTGCACTGGAAGCTGCAGACCCAACCCTGCATGCAGGAGGTTCGGGACATTGGTCGCCTGAGACTGACCCCAGAGATGACAGTCTCTTTGGGCAGCATCCTGAATGACCAAGCAGCCTTTTTCAAGGAGGGCACTGTTTGCTCCACACAGAGAGGGGCCTAGAAAAGATGACCTAACCAAAGCTCATCTCCACCCTTCACCCAGTTGGTTAGCTGCGGCCAATGGGCATCTTCTGATGCAGTCAAACAAAGTCTAAGAAACAAAGGCATACACCTGCCTCCAAAGATGTACCTAAACTGACAGTCACATGCTGGAACATCAGAACCATGCTTGATACTGTGGATAGTGGTCATTCTGAGTGTCGTTCTGCCATAATTGCCCACAAACTGTCACGTCTCAATATCGGCATTGCTGCTCTCAGTGAAGTTTTTCTCCATGAAGAAGGCAGCCTCAGAGAACACAGTGCCGGTTACACACTCTATTATTGGTCAGGTAAACCCAGAACCGAAAGGCATCTCTCAGGAGTTGCCTTCACGATTAAAAACTCTGTTGTCCCTAAACTTGAAATTCTGCCGACAGGTCATTCTGATCGCATTGTGTCCCTGCACCTTCCACTACACAGCAAACAACACATTGTCCTCTTTAGTATATATGCCCCAACTCTCCAAGCTGACCCTGCCAAAAAAGATAAATTTTACACTGTCCTGCACCGCCTTACCCAAAAGGTTCCTGCAGATGATAAGATCATTATCCTTGGTGATTTCAATGCCAGAGTAGGAAAGAAATTTGAAGCCTGGAAAGGAGTATTAGGTGTTGGAAACTGCAGTGATAATGGTCACCTTCTACTAGAGTTTTGTGCAGAGCAACAGCTCACCATCACCAACGCTATCTTTCAGCAGAAAAATAGTCTGAAGACAACCTGGATGCATCCTTGATCCAAGCATTGGCACCTCATTGATTATGTCTTGGTGTGACAGAGAGATGTTCGTGCTGTAAACTTAACTTCCACTTTAAGTTCAAACCTAAAAGGGGCGGTATTCCAAGGAGGAGACTCCAAGTTAATGGTCTTCAAACAGCTACAGTGAGAGACAGATTAGAGGCAAACCTTCAAACTAGGCTCAAAGATCATTCCATAGATCCCTCTCCTGAAACACTTTGGCAACCTATTAAAAATAGCATCCTGCGGTCCTCTGAAGAATCCTTAGGGTTCTCCTTCAAGAAGAACAAGGACTGGTTTGATGAAAACAATCAAGAGATCCAGGAATTGTTGTAAAGAAGAGAACTGCTCACCAAGCACACCTTGCTCAGCCATCTTGTCATATAAGAAAAGCAGCCTTTCATCTTGCATGCAGCAAGCTCCAACAGAAACTTCGTGACATACAGAACAAGTGGTGGATCAATCTAGCAGGAAAAATTCAATTATGTGCAGATACGGGTGATTACAGAGGATTCTATGAGGCCTTGAAAACAGCATACGGGCCTACATATCAGGTCCAGAGGCCTCTACTCAGTACAGATAGTAAAATGCTTCTGACAGATAAAATCTCCATTCTGAATTGATGGTCTGAACACTTTCAGACTCTTTTCAGTACTAACCGTGTAGTTCAAGGCTCAGCAATTCAGTCCATCTCACAACAACTGCTGAAGAATGAATTGGATATTGCCTTTACTATGGGAGAAACTCTCAAGGCCATATAGCAGGTGAAAACTGGCAAGGCAGCTGGGGTTGATGGAATTCCACCTGAAATTTGGAAACATGGGGGCCAAGCACTTCTTGCTAAATTTCACGAGTTTGTGGTGCGCTGTTGGGAAGTAGGTGAACTACCATCAGGCCTTCGTGATGCAGTCATCATCACTTTGTATAAGAAGAAAGGTATTAAATCAGATTGCTCAAACTATCGTGGTATTACTCTGCTCTCCATTGCTGGCAAAATCCTGGCAAGAATACTTTTGAACAGACTAATACCCACTATAGCAGAAGGAATTCTACCTGAAAGCCAATGTGGTTTC